TTTTGCAATGTTTTGGCAACACTTTATGGACTTTATGCTGACACCAGGATTGAAAAATTTATGTTTTATGGATTTGCTTATAGATAAGTGTTGTGATATGGGATGAAGAGATATCCATTTAACCTTATGGGGGTGAAGAGTTATTAAATTTGTTTCTACTTGTGAAGGTTGGAAGTTACTTCTTTATGTATATTTTTTCTTTTTCTTTATTATATTCTTTCTTTTCTTTTTCTTTATTTCTTTTTCTTTTTCCTGCACTTTTTACTTTTTCTTCCCATTCTCTTCTCTTTCTCTAAGTTTAGTTTGTATTAGTTTTTACTATTGTAATTAAAATTCTTAATAAAATTATATTCTTTAAAAAAAGTGATTGCTGTCAAAGAAAACGAAATGATAAGCAACACTTTAGTCCGTTACTAAATCATTTAAGAAAAAATGGGATTCTTCCTTTATTCAGTGTTACAAAGAAACTGAGTAATTTTCTATTCGTTTTGAAGCCATAAAAACTTTTCCTGAGGTGGTTTTTCAGTTTCTTCATTATTTTGAATCTCAGTTATCACTCATCTTTACTTAGACGAGATTGTGTAAACCCTGTTAATCCACAAAATCCAGGTTTCATTATAATTCTTGCAGTAGAGCTTTCACCAGTTCCATGGGCTACAGTAGCAATCAGATTTCATTCTGCAAAGCTATCCTAGGGCTACACATTCATGAAGAGTTTTGCAAATGTATTTGTGGAGGGCATTGCTTTTGTCTTTCTTACTTATAAATATCAATACCTTTCCTTTTTCCTAGATTTTTTAAAAGTGGTATGAAAGGGGGTCCATACTGCACAATTCCTCTAAAATTAGACTGCTCTTTCCCAACTTCTCATTCATTCAGCAGTCCATCTTTTTAGACGGAGATTCCTTATATGATATTTTAGGGCTGTTGCAGCAGATTTGAATATATTTTATTCATACCTAAATGTAGGTCATTCGATATTCACTTGTTCCCATCATATATGAAGTCTTGGCCACTGGCTGCTGTAGTTTTTAACAATCTAGACTGGCACAGTTGAAACCTGTCTTGTGCTGGTAAACTGTTTCATTGGTTCCTCTTTTCATAAATTCATTTTCTTCCCTCTCAAGTGTTAATTCTGTTAGAACCAAGAGGTTGTGGCACAAATGCAGTAATATTTCCACAGTAAAACTGCAATTGGATCTTGTTCATTCTTTGTAGGTGAGTGAACATACGTGGCCTTTCTTCCTATATGTATATCCCTCAGTTTATGATCAGAATCTCCAAATATACACAGGGAAGTTCTTCTGCTTTTGTATAAAATGGAGGAAAGGTTTTTGCCCCTGCCCCACAAAGACCTGTAAGGCTCTAGACTGTGATTTCTTCTCAATTAATCTCTCTGAATCTGTTTGGCTTACATGTAAAAAAATGTACAAAAGAATTCTACAGCAAGGAATGGAAGTGGTGGGAGAAATGTGGATTCTACTTAGGAAGATGGTGCTGGATTATATATAGCTTCTACCCCCTCCCCCCACCAGTTCAACCAATATTATTTCCAGCAAGTGTTTATTTTTAGGTTCCAGTGCTGTCACCATAGTAGCCAGCTAAGCTTCTTGTTAGATCCCATCTGCCTACATTGGCTGTCTGGGGCTTTTCTCTATATACACAGTAGCCCGATTGTTCCAGGTCTCCAAGTTCTCATAAGCACCTGCCTGAGCTTCATTACTAAGGAGATAAAATTCCCAAAGTTGGAGTCTCACTTATGCTTCCAATAGGATTTATAGCTAAAATGCTTATGAGTCCTTTAGCATTTCATTAACTTCTTGTCTGTGCTCTCTCAGAAGGTGTTCAGCCAGCCAAATAAAAAAGCTTAGGAGAAAAATGTAGATCTTACTTTGCAACCAGAAAATCTAAAAATTAAAATACAGTTACTGTTATTTAACAGAAAACCTACACTAAAAACTGAATATTCTAAGAACATACAGTTCCTGTTGTTTAAGGATAATTAAATAGGTTTTTTTTTAAAAAAAAAAAGCAGATAAAGCAACAGGCTTCTTTCAATGTTGCTAATACAGAGAATGTGGCAAGCAGTAATTTAGATGAATTA